ACTGTATACATACTTTTGTCATGGTGTCACCCGAGTGTATTGATATGTAAAAAAGTAGTGAAAATGGCGGAATAAACAACTTAGTTAAAGGGCGGCAGTCGTCGCGCCACGCATGTGCGAGATATATGGGTCACATATAAAAAGAGATGGCGACAGTTGGGCAGATCAACGAGTACCAACTGAGACGTTACCAAGCTTTAATTATGTATTTTTTAGGTGATTGGAATATATTCAAGGAGTCACCGGCGGTAATTAGTGCAAGTCGCGCCCAGGTCAAACCTCATACTCGTGATTACCATTAGAAGAGCGCATTGAATTGTGAGAGAATTAATGTTTATCAACACTAATGTCGCACATGCGCAGCGCGAAGACTACCTACTGCCCTTTAAACTTGAAAGCTCTCTGGATTCTTTGGTGTGTGTTCACGAGTCAACACAGAGAGGCAATATAAAAACAAAAGATGGAAATACGTGTTCTGCATACGTACCTATATCACAGTCAGGAAAGGTCTCCCACCCATCACAGCATATGTAGCCTGTGTACGATTCTAAACGAGTTTCTGTCGTGGTCTCTATTCCGCTGTAACACAGAATAGACATCTAATAAACAATGATCACAAACTCAATGCACCATTCCTATAAATTGCGCCCTCAAGAAAACGACGTGTATGAGTAAGATACATTTCGTTCGAATTGACAGCGGGGTTTGGATGTGTAGTCATAGTAACCATAGTAACATATTAATATAATTTATGATTTCTGATCCACGCGCAAACAATGTTAACAATGTGCGTTTCGCTGCATTACAGGCACGCGAACGTCTGACTACAGTCTTCTGCCCTCACACGGCGTAGACAAAAAACGCAAACACACTGACGGTATAGAAAAATATAATAATATTGTAACAATAGAAAACAATACTACAGTTGTTAGTAATGAATCAAGCAAACTTTTCACTTACTTTTCAGTGTTTATAATATTTGTATATTCGACCGTTTCACTGAAAATAATTAAATGTTAGTATCAGTAAAATCCACTGAAAATTTGTAAACGGCAATGTAGATGACATGAACTTAGAATTATGT